TTACTGCCTCGCCCCCAGATTGGTCGGAGCCTTCGCGGCTGGGATGGGGATTTGGGCCGAGTCTCAAGGTGATCTCAAGGTGCCATGGTGAGAGGCTCTACCAGAAGGATCAAAGAAAGTTGGGTACAATTGGCTAGCCGCCTTAGGTATGCTACTCGCTGGAGGATGAAAGTTGTCGTGACGCACCGCAAACCCTAGGACCAGGAAGTTTCTGCCCGCCCCGAGTCTTCAGGCACCAAAATTCTACGACAGAATATTGGCTCGGATCCCTACGGAGCATTGAGAAAAGGAGTTTGAAAAGGAGCAAACCGCGCGAAAGGGGGCTAAAACATTTGAGAACCAGGAGCAAACTACTCGAAAGGGACTCGAGCATTGTGAGAAAAGGAGCATTTTAGAAAAAGGTGCAAGCCGCTCGGAAAGGACTAGAGCATTCCAGAAACAGACGCAAACAGTTCGAACGGGAGTAGAGTGGACCGTGCGAAAGGCACCAGAACATTTGGGAAAAAGGAGCAACCCGCTATCCAAGGACGAGAGCAGAGGACAAGAGCAGAACTTGAGAGCAGGGGACGCCCTGCTCGCAACGGAATAAGAGCTTTTGAACGAAATGCGCAAAGTGCTCGGAAGGGACTAGAGCATTAAACATAAATAGAGGAAGTCAACCGTTCGAAAGGGAGTAGAGCATTTCAGAAAAGGGCAAACCGTGCGAAAGGGACTGGAGCATGTGGGACAAAAGGAGCGAACCGCTATCCAAGGACGAAAGCAGATGAGAAGAGCAGACTGTTCGCAAAGGAGCAGAGCATTGGAACAAGCATTCAGTTCGAAAGGGAGAAGAGCAAGTGAGAAAGGAACAAACCGCTCGATAGGGTTTTATCAAAGACTATGAGAAAAAAGGGCAATTTGCCCGGAAGGGGCTAGAGCGCTTGCGAATAAGGAGCAATCCGCGTGCAAGCGACTCGAGTCTTGAGGAAAAGGAGCAGACCGCTCGAAAGGGTCAAACCGGTCGAAGTGACTGGAGGTTTTGAAAAGAAAAAGAGCAAACCGCTCCAAAGGGACCAGAGCACTTTCGATAAAGGGACGAAACCGCACCAAAGAGGCCCCGAGCATTTGAGAACAAGAAGAGCGATTAGGGCATGTGAAACAAAGGAGTAAACTGCCTAAAAAGGATTAGAGCAAATCGCTCCAGGCCCCCAACTTTCGAGCGGGTTGCTCATCGATCTCAAATGCCCCAGCTTTTTTTCGTTCGGGTTGCTTATGCTCTAATCCTATTCCCGCGCTTTCTGCTCCCTGCCACAGATGTGCTCGTTTTCTCAAACGCTTTAGTCCCCTTCGAGCGGTTTGAACAGGAGCATGCCGCTCGAAAGGGATTAAAGCTGTTGAAATCAAGGAGCAGACTGTTCAACAGCGTTTGAGAAGAAGGAGCCAACCTTCCGAAATGGGCTATAGAGTATTTGCGAAAAAGGAGCGATCGGCTCCAACGGGTCTAGAGCATATGAGAGAAAAAGGAGCAAACTGCTCGAAATGGACTGGAACATGTGAAAATAGGGAGCAGAGCATTTGGCAGAATAGGGGCAAACCGTTCGAATGGTATAGAAAAAGAACAAACCGCTCGAAAGGGCCTCGAGCATTCGAGAAAAAAGAAGCAAACCGCATTCGAGAGAAAGGAGCAAACCGCTCGAAAGTGAATGGAGGTGTTGAGAACAGGGACCAAGCCGCTCGCAAAGGAGCAAACAGTAACACTTCGAAAAGGATGATTACGTAAACATCTAACTCCTGAAGCTTCAGACCCATCAGCGCTGCAAGTTCCGAAAGGTACATATTTCTCAGTAGAACCCAGGGCTTCCCAAGGCCTCGCTATTTAGGCCCCCAGGCCCAAGGACTGGATTGGAGCCTTGTCCGCCCCAAAGAAGCCCAATCCAGGAACCAACGGCGGAGTAGGAACCACATATGAGAATTTTGCTGTACAAACTCTAAAGTGCATATAGATAGAAAGCGATATGGCTTACGTGGACAACTGCTTCAGCCACACGCCGTTTGAAGTTTCCATGAAATCTGTAGGATGTCCTATGCCGCATACACCCATATTAACGGTTGTTGCAACGGTACTCGACCATACTTGCTCCCAAACCGTGTAGAAACAGGGGACATACCCAGTACTTCTCCCTCATCCTTCCTATCCGAACACCGAGCACATTCCAGAGTCAACGTCCAACACCATACACCCGAAACCCACATCACAAGATCCAAACCCCGACTTGAAGGCCTAAGTCGCCCCAAAACCTTTAAGACTTACTGCGTAAACCTTGCAGCGCTTAATCCCCAAATGCGAAAAGCCTTAGACTCGGCAGCCCCAACGAGAAGTCTCGACAGCTTAGTGTTTTTTAGGGTTTAAGGCTTTTCGGATTGGGGGTTTACCTGTCATCTGAGCTCAGGGCCCGAGGCTTGACAGTTTTTAGTGTTTTGTTAGGCTTGTGAGACTGGGGGTTTAGGTATAGGCTGTCTCAGAAGGCGGCTCCCGAAACTCTACCCAAAGGCTCCATGTACCCATATAGATACTTAGGCCTTAAAAGAGTTCCTATATAAGTTCTTTAGGGTCCTCACAAATACATACGTCTATATGGGTACAAGGAGCCTTTGGGCAAACCCGAAAGCCACAAAACCCTAAACCCTAAACTTCCGCACCCCTCGAAATATTCAGCCTTGGCATAAAGAATCCGGTATAGGGCACCTTTAGAAAGGAACCCTGAGCCGGCAAGCATGAAAGCAACACCAGAATCCTAAGTCGGAAAACCGAAAAGCCTGAACCCTAGGCCGTAAACTCTATGAATCCTAGAAGCCCCAAGCCCTAAACCCTACTGTCGATGATATAAATCCTGCAATACCTAATGGACCCGAAACTAAGGGAATTATGGTATATTCCGTATTATTGTAATTGCAGGATTTATATCATCAACCGTATCAATCCTATAAGCCCGAGGCCCTAATCCTTCAAAGGACGGAAACGGAAGCCTAATCCAAAAGTCCTATTGAGGTGTTCAGGGTTTTGAAGACTCAGGGCATTTGGGAGGAGGAAGTCCGGGTTTAGGGCATCGCTGTGCCTTGCCTGCGCCGAGCTGCTCTGGGCTCTGGAGTTGCGGATTACGTTTTAGGTAGGTTTAGGGTTTAGGGTTAAGGATTTAGGGGTTTAGGATTTAGGGGTTTAGGGTTTAGGAGTATAATGGAGAAGCATAGAAGGACAGAGCCGCCATAGCTGAACCCTAAACCCTACTTTACTTCTCACCCGCTACCTACGAGTATAAGCGTATTAGGACGAAGATATCGACGCCAAGGCTTGCCAAAACCAGGCGCCAAAACTCTGAACCCTTATTAGGCCTTGAACACAAAACCCCAATCTTAAAGGATTTGGGGTCCTGAGCCCTGCACCCTCACATGGTTCCAGGGAGTAGGTTTTTTGGGTGCTTCAGAAATAGTGCGACCTCGGCTTTCAACCTACACCTCTTAATAACACACGAACTTTAAAACGGGGACTAGGAGCGGTTGTTTTCACGGACTGGCACGGGTTCCGTCCACAAGGTGACCAGCTAAGGAGCTTTGAATTTCCGGCTGACTGTTGTCAGCTGCAAGAATGCTGCTCTCAACATTCGCTTCTCGAAATGCTGACCTGCATGTTGCTGTGCGACCTTCTTCAACAGTCCTTAGTTGTATGTAGAAGGGTCTCTACGAGAGGCCAGCCGTCTGAATGCTGCTGAAACTCTGTTGAAATCTTCTTCGCCGAATGTGTGGGCAAACCGACTGCTGTAGAGCTCCTCGACCTGGTCTGCCAGCACCTCCTCGAAAGCCTCGGTCAAATCATGAGACTGTGCGGATACTGGGGCGACGCTTGCAGAAGCATCAACTTTCCAAGTGCAGGCAAGCATCATGGTGCTTGGGTAATATTGCCCACTGAAGGCGCTTTCGAGTCGTGGCATGGTGAGCAGCCTCCATGTGTGACTTCAAGTAGGCGAGGCCTCCCAGAAGACAGTTCGTAACTAGTACCCGCAAAGTATGCTGTCATGTTGACAGGCCTCGGTCTCGAAGATCTGTCGCTTGTGCGACTGAAAGATATCGAGGATATCTTTCGAAGTGGTTCTGCCAGTCAGCCAACCGGCACCTCAGAATAGCTACAATGGGCAATCCTATGTATTATTAAGAGCCATGTACGTAAAGGCTCCGTGCGTTTCGAGGCACACAGTCTGAACTGTCAAGCGACCAGCCTGAGCACGTGCCCTCCATTCGTCGGCGCCTTCAGAGGGGAGCATCACCAAAGTCTGCAGGAACTCGTCCGAACTGAGGGCTTCCTGAGGAGAAGTTTAGGAGTTGCTGCTGGTTGCCGGTGTCTTAAAACTTATATCGGGCGGCCTATCCTGAAGGACCTGGCGGATGCAGCAAGGGCTCGGAAAGCCAGCCAAGCACGACCCTGCAGATGTAGGCTTTGAGGTTAATCCAAGGATGCTTGGTGGGCTGCCTTGGGTCAGGGCCGAGGTGGAAATGCGCCAGTTTCCAGGGCCGTGCCGAGCAGGAGATATTCTTGGCTGAACACCACTTGCGGAACTGGTTGAAGCTGATCCGGAAACCATCTGTTCCCAGGGACTCAGCCAATGCGTGGAGCCCCTCCGCACAAACGACCTGGTATATTCCAAGGTTGCAGGTGTGCATGGTGCACCATTTGAGCATTCGGACATGGAATCCGTCTAGATTTATCAAGGGCGACGGCTGGGGCGGAAGTACATCCAGGATGAACTGCACAGTGCTGAGCTGCTCAAATTGAGCGATGTTGCCGAAGACGCTGAAGAGCTTGCCACCTCGCCCGGGCAGCCTGCTTGCGTCACACCGGTGACAAATATGCGCGCATTGCCACCAGCGCTTGAGCTCAAACAGCTCCACGAACCACTTCCAGTCCCCCTTCAGTTCTGAGACGGCGAAACGAGGAGTTCTTTGTGGCTCACGTGCAGCACGAGCCAAATTTAAACTCCATGTAGCTTGGACCAGAATCGGCCGCAATGTCTCCTGCACGGGTGGGCAATGCAAAAGCAAACACGGGCCCATTGTGATTGAATGACTGCTCTAGTCGGGGCACCGCACCGAGGTGTATGGCATTGGAGACCACGAAGAAAAGCCAGTACTTCGCCCAGGAAGAGGTTCCTGAGCTCCAAAACCCTACTCTGCAAAACGACTGATCTCAGTCACTCGACTTGCACATCCCTCAGACCTGCCAGTCTGCCCAGAACACGACGAAGCGCCAAAACCCCACCATGCAAAGCGACAGGTCTGAGGGACGCGCAAGTCACTCGACTCCCACAGCCCTCCGACCTGTCAGTCTGCCCAGAGCAAGAGTACAACAGCTCCCAGGTTCTTTGCAAACCAGCAGGACAGAAACACCATTTCCCACAGTCATGCTGGGATTGGGTTGTCTTTTCCAGAAGGCTGGAGGCTCCGTGCAGCCAGCAGCGCCGCGAGCAGCTTGACGGAGGCCGTCAAGAAGCTCGCGGTGCCGAACAGCTGCAAGGAGCCTCCGGCTTCGTAGAACCCAAATTAATCTGCCACGTGCTGTCGAGGCTCGTTTCGGCCGGAAAAGAGGGCAGGAGAGGCTGAGCTGGAGAAATTTCTCCTGGAGGCTGCTGTACACGGCTTCATCTCCGTACACCTGAAAGAACTTCAGGGATCAGCGGCTGCGAGAAAGATTTTAGCTAAGGCGCACTCACGGGGACTTCAGTTCCATCTGCAGGATGGGAGGTAGCCCAGCTCACGCTGAGGCGGCGGAAGTGCTGCCAGTACTTCCTCCGCATCATGATGGCATACCCCCCCGGCTGTCAATTGTTGCAGTGTGTGCACTAGTCACTAGGATGAGCTGCATTGCTGCTGACCGAGCGGCTGGATGTCCTCTGTTGGGACGAAAACCCTGCCTGAGTCCCACAGCCACTGCAGCAATTCATGCGGAAGTATCATCGGAAGCTTCCTCGTCACCGTGTCGTCGCTGTTGGGTTCCTTGCGGACTCTGCAATCCACCCAGTGCATGGCCTGCAGAGTAATAGAAAAACCTTAAGCCTTTACCCCCGTCCATCTAAAATTCAAGAGGTTTTAGTTGGGGGGGGGTCAATGTTTTCATAGAATTCCCTCTGATGTCTGCGGACGGCAGACTGATGGATGAGGCCGGGCTTGAGAAACACAAAAAATGCAAAGACCAGAGCCGAAGCTACATGACGATGTAGACTAGTCAGACCAAGTCACGATAGGGAGCCTGACGAAGCGATAGAAATCTCGGCTTGCATTCGTCAGCCCTTTCCCTCCCATCTGGGACATCTTCCTGGTAGCCTCTGACACGTGTCCCTGGGCCTCCTGGTGTTGGTGGCACGGCAGATCATCAGTTATACGATATAGATAGATAGATAGGTATGGATATATAGAAATTTAGATCGACAAACCTATATCTATACATACATATATACACATATATATATACACACACACATAGATATAGATATAGATAT